GGATCCCTTAAATTTCAACTCTACAGTTATATACCATCTAGTATTCTTGATCTGAATATTAACAAAAAAAAGTTTCTAAACACTTGTAATCCCCACTTTTTCATTGTTATGAGGAAAACAAAAATATATGTAAATCAATGCTTAATTTGTTCAGGGCATAATATTTACATTGTGAAACCAATGGGAGATAACAAGCAGTGGCAAAGAGGCAATAAATTTTAAAAAGCCAAAGTTTTATATTTTTTTTACAATATTGTACTAATCAGCATAACTATATAAAAAATTAAAATATAGCAGAGCATCCCATTACAGAAATTTTAATCATCTGAACTGCAGTAATTACTTGCTAAATATTTACATGCAACACCTGCTAGGACTGACTTTTTGTTTTTAAAGTATAAAATAGATTATGAGGTTTAAGAGACAAACATTAATTTGTGTACAAACAAAATTAAAAACTGCACTCAAGAATTGCCCGGAACAAAAGCCTCTTCCATACAGGAGGGAAAAAAAAAACCCAAACAACAAAAAAAACAAACGATGATAGAAAGTATTTTCTTTCTATACACTATTTATCAAAGGCAATACATAGACTGAGAATACCTGGATAACAAACTCTGTAGACACTGGAAACAAACAGCTTTCACATACATGCTCTTTATAAGGAGGCCTTTCTTTCCATCAAATGGAAATGGCTGATAGCAAATAAGGGGCACCAGGTGTACAACTAAGTAGATCTTGCAAAATACTAAGATGGGGCAGTAGTTAATATACAATTTGAACTATATATACAATATAATGGAATGTATTCCATTCCAAAACTGGTTTATGAAACAATTGGACCTTTCTACACTAGCCTTATGACTCAGCTATCGTTCTAATGAAAACATAAGTACACAAGAGACTTGCATGAAAAGTAAAATTTATGGGGCATTTTACAGGAACTATTGACAGAGCTGCTTAATGGCATTTCTGCTTTTAAAGTAATTTTGTTAGATGATAATTGAAACACCATCTGTGTATAAAATGTCCTGACAGACACATCAACATGGAGCTTTGGTGATTTTAAAAGGCCCTTTTTTGATCTGTTATGAATTGTAGTGCAGAAGTATCGATGTATGCACACATCTGTGTCAGCTGAGACTAGTGATCCAACTGCATGCACATTTCCTCCTTGAGGTACTTTCCATGTTACACCACTTCAGTAACAGTAAGATGAAAAATAGACTAAACAAAGTATTTCAGATAACTCAAACTGAATAGTAAATAGAATGCCAATATGGAAGTAAAACTTTTTTCTGTTGTTTTTAAACAGGAAGGTCTCCTGTACCAGCAGAATCCTGTATACAGCTACACAAAGAAGGAGGCAATACACCACTTATAATTCCCATTAAACAAGAGCTGATTCGTCATGTGAGAAGGTACAAATTACAGAAAACATGAATAGTCAATAGAAGAGAAATAACTGGTTTACATGAAAAAAGAGAGAACACTTCAGTCTGAACACAGTTATTTTGTAAAAGCTGCTACAACAGCCCACAGAACCTCATTCGTGTTGGCTTTCATACATTCAATCTCAGGGTCTAAATCCAGAAGCTGCCGTACTCTCTTTGTGGCTAAATCATACTGCTCGTCCAAAAGTGGGGCAAAAGCGTTCTCCAGAACATCTGAAGCATGGGCTAAATAAACAAGTGCCAGCAAGCGCCTGTCCATGCGGTGAGGGTCATTCACCCATTTGTCAAGAACGGCTTCTTGAACCTTCTTGATGAGGCGCTGTTTGATACTGTTGTTGGTGAGAGGGTGCGTAGTCATGTCAAAAAGAAGGAAGTTCTGTTTTTCTGTTGTCAGTATGCCTTTTTCCACTAGATTTTTAGCTAACCGTTCACGGACATTTCGCAATTGGTAGTGCAATTTCAATGGGTTCCATGTTTCACCTAAAACAACAAGCAAAAAAGCCAAGAGTCAGGCAAAGTTTAAGCTGTATTATTACAGCGATTCTCCCCGCCCTGCAGAATGAGCTGTCAAATACATATAGCTGACTATTACACTGCTGCCTCCTGGCAGCAGATAGAGTTCAACTATCTCCAAGGGGCAAAAGGAT